TTTGCTGTTCAGTATAGTAGCCATTAAGTATATTATTTACATAAGGATATTGAGCTCCTAAAATGTGAAATCCAAATTAAGATATACCATGAGTGTAAAATACACACCACATTTTGAATGCTTAACATAAAAAGAAAGTAAAATAGCTCATTAAAATGTTTGCTTTGATTACATGTAGAATTGGTAATGTTTTGGATATGTGCAGTTAAATAATATAATCTATCATTTTGCATTTCAAGAATGGTATATGAGGGCTGGGGATGTGGCTCAAGCGGTAGCGCGCTCGCCTGGCATGCGTGCGGCCCGGGTTCGATCCTCAGCACCACATACCAACAAAGATGTTGTGTCCGCCGAGAACTAAAAAATAAATAATAAAAATTCTCTCTCTCTCTCTCTCTCTCTCCCTCCTCTCTCACTCTCTCTTTAAAAAAAAAAAAAAAAAAAGAATGGTATATGAGGGCTGGGATTGTGGTTCAGAGGAAGAACGCTTGCCTAGCATGTGAAAAGCACTGGGTTTGATTCTCAGCACCACATAAAAATAAATAAAGATATTGTGTCCACTTACAACTAAAAAATAAATGTTTTGGGGAAAAAAAGAATGGAATATGAATGGACTCATATGTGTGTGATCTTTGAGACTGACTTCTTTCATTCAGCATAATGCTTTTGAGATTCATCCAAGTTTTTGTTTGTATCAGTAATTCGTTTCTTTTGTGGAGTTTGTTTAACATTCCCCTGTGGTAAGACATTTTGGATGATTCCAGTTTGGGGCTATTACAGATAATGCTGCTTTGAACAATCATGTACAGAATTTGCATATGGCTTCATTTGTCTGGGATAAATGCCCAGCAGTGTGAGTCCTGGGAAGTAAGGCAGGTGTATGTTTAGTTTTAAAATTAATGGCCAAACTATTTTCCACCGTGGCTGTGCTATTTTTACATTCCCACATCAGAGGGAGAGGTCCATTTTCTTAATTTCTCCCCAGAATTTGGTAGAGTAACTTTTTAATTTTAGTTATGCAGTGCTATTTAGGAATGCAGTGCTATTTAGTTACGAAATGCTATTTAGGTATGCAGTGCTATTTCATCATGATCTTAATGGCTAGGGATGGTGAAGCCTCTCCATGTTTTTATTTGGTATATGTATAGCTTTTTCAGAGAAATGCCTTTTCATAACTTTTGCTAATTTTCTAACTGGAATTTTTTGAATATGTAGACTTTTGAGATTTCTTGTATTCTAGATATGAGTACTTGTCAGATAGGAGATTAGCAAATATTTTCTCCCAACCTGTACCTTGTTTTCTCGTCCTTTTAAGGGATCTTTCACAGAACAAGAGTCTTTAATTTTGAAGTCTAGTTTGTCAATTTGTAGATTGTACTTTTGGGATTGTGATATATTAGAACCCTTTGCCTACCTGAAGTTCGTGAAGATTTTCTTTTATGTTGTCTTCTATCAGGTATATAGTTTTTTTGTGTTTAGGTCTATTTTCCATTTATAGTTAATTTTTGTGTATGGTGTGAGATTGGGGTCTTACCTTATGCTCTTGCAGCACTATTTTTAGAAAATACTATCTTTTCCTCATTCTGATTTCTTAATCAGCTCTTGGATTTTTAAATTTTCATTTCTTCAGCTTATGTTTGATCTGCTCACCTTTTTCTATTTTTTTTACATGTGGAAGTTGGTCGTTAATTTGATAAGTTACTTCTTTGCTAACATAGTTATTCAGTGATCTACATTTCCCTGGGTTCTACCCTTGAAGCATCTCACAACATCTGATATTTTGTGTTTTCATTAACCTTAAAACGCTTTCTGGAATGCTCTCTGGTCAGGGGGCAGGCGCCAGCTCGTAAGAGGAGATGACTCAAGTTCTAGGGCTATTACCACAGGAGTTCAAAGAGAGAAATATCTTAAAATTCAGCCTTGAAGTTCAAAGCAGGCAGAGATGATAGTTCTAAAGGCCCAACTTTTGATTTGCAAGAAATGGGACTTTTGAGTTTCTCTCTACGAATCAAGTACAAGGTGACTATTGCCACAAACAATAGATTTAAGAAATGCAATAGTGGTGTGTACAAAATTCTGGGATCTAGGCCCTACCTCTTACTTAGTTCCTTGAGAGAAAACAAGTTCCTATGAAGTTCTCTTTTCTCCAGACCTTTAGGAGAATTTTCATCACCTACATGGGGATGTCACAGCAGCTTCAGATTCCTGAAGTTCCCTGAAGGGACTTGAGAGCAGTTGAAAGAGAGTGTCTTCTGAAAGTGCCTGAGAGGGATGGCAGAACTTAAAGGGCCCATGTAGATTCTCATCAATGCCTAGTCAAGGTCCGCAGATTCCATTTCATCAGGAATAGAAGCCAAGTACCACGCTTCAGAAAGACCTTGGACATGAGTAATAAGAAGAGCACGAAGAAACAAACCTAGACCTAGGTTTGGATATGAAGTCCTCTAAAGATTCACGTGTTGAAGGCTTGGTCCCCAGTACAGAAAGGTTCAGAGGTGGGGCTTTTGGGAAGAAATTGGATCATGAAGATTCTGATCTATTAGTGGACTGATAGCTGGATGGACTACTAGGAAGTAGTAAAAACTATAGGCATGTGGGACTTGGTTGGAGGAAGTAGGTCACTGGGGACTACATCATGTCCCTGGTCCCCAACCCCCATCCCTAGTTCCTGGATATTGTGAGCTGAACAGCTTTCTTCTGCCATGATCCCTCAGCCTTGAAGCCTGGCCACCATGGACCAAAACCTCTGAAACTGTAAGCCAAAGTAAATATTTCCTCCTTTAGGTTGTTTATATCAGGTGTTTTGGTTATGGTGACAAAGAACAGACTAACACAGTCACCTCCTTCCTATCAGGACTGTAACAAGAAACTATGAATGAATACACTGGAAGGAAAAGCCCTGAATTAACTGAACTTAAATCTGAGATAACTGAGAATAATACCCTGATGTGACTGAGTTTATTCAAATGATGAAGTCTCTATCTTCCATTTGGTAGAATGTGGGATTGTGATAAAAATTATTTTAAAATAAACACTGTATTAAAATATTTTATATGTTTTAAAAAGTTATGGCTGGGCACAGTGGAGCACACCTGAAATCCCCGCAACTCAAGAGGATTGCAAATTTGTGGCCAGCCTCAGCTACTTGTTGAGGCCCTAAGCAAATTAGTGAAGGATTCTCAAAAAAAAAAAAAAAAAGGCAGGGGGCTGGAGATGTTGCTCAGTGGTAAAGTGCTTCTGAGTTCAGTTCCCAATACAAAAAAAAAAAAAAAAATGTTTGTGCCCTTGAGTTTGTGACCTGAATATTTGTATAAACTGTAAAAACTTCTTTGGACTATGATAGATATATTTTAAAAAATAAACAATTCATAGACTGAAATTTTGAAAAATGTGTGTGCTTTCTGCATTCACTAATATAGCAGCTCTTGATGAAAAATGACTATCTTTTTTTTCCTCTTTAAACTCTGAAGTTAGTTCTTTGAAAAAATGCACCTTCCTCCTTTAGAATGCTATATTAATGTGAAATAATTACTGGTTTTGTACTTCTTTCTGATAATGTCCTTCCCTGGCTTTTTTCAATAATATCTTCTTCCTGCTCCCAAGTTTTGCGCTTGATTGTATGGTTAGTCTGATTTAAAATGTTTTGCCTTATTTCTCTTCAACATTTGCATATATAAACTGAACTTGATAATACTGGACATAGCTGTCTGAAATGCCAGAATGTCTAGAGACTCTTCCAAGCTTTTCACAAAATATATTTTGTCTGTGAATACCATTTAACTAGTAACACTGGCTAATAGATGACAAAAAATTCTCATTTGTTTTCACATTAAATTTGATCTAAAACGTGTTTGCACTTTTTTTACTTGTTTTTATTAACACTTATTGACATATTAAATGTCATTCTGAGTTTACCTTTAAAAAAGAAAACCATTTTCCTCTATGAACTATCTAGTAGTTTTTGTCCCCACCCCCACCCCACATTTTACTTTCTCTGGATGCCTCCTGTATGATTTGAGTCTTCTATAGTTAAGACTTTATGTATTTTTAGCCAAGCATGGTGGTGCATGCCTATAATCCCAGTTGCTCAGGAGGCTGAAGCAGAAGAATCTTGAATTCAAAGGCAGTCTCAGCAAAAAGTGAGGTGTTAAGCAGCTCAGTGAGACCCTCTCTAAATAAAATACAAAATAGGGCTGGGGATGTGGCTTAGTGGTTGAGTGCCCCTGAGTTCAACCCCCAGTACTCCCAAAAAATATTTTATTTATTTTTTAGTAGTAAGTAAATAAGCAAATGAGAATTTTCCAAATAATATCTTCCTCCTAAATCCCAGGACCCCATTCATCATAGTCTGCCAAACCTTAATTTCTTCCCAAGTTCTGTCGGTCTATGGAAGAATCATTAAGTAAACCACAGAGAAAGGAGAAAATGCTTCAAAGCAGGCCAGAGACAGACAGGACATAAGGAGATGGGATCATTATAATCAGGGAATTTAGAGTCTGACTTTTCTCTTCTGCCTTCCCTCCTAGGAATATATTAGAACCACAAAACCACTAACTTTGGCTGTAAGATTGTGCTAGAAGGATTCTGGAGGAGGCTAGTCACAGTCCAGCCAGCAAGAGAAGTTAGCATATTAGAGTAAAAGGAAAGTCAGACTTTAGGTCAAAATATCTAAGTTCATGTCTTGACTCTCTCCATAGCTCTGTAAATACAAACAAACAACAACAACAACAACAAAAAAAACCCTCAGTTCTAAGTTTTCTAGGTCTCATATTTCCTGTTTGGAAAATGTATGAGTTGAAGACAAATTTTATTTCAGCACTAAAATTCCATTTCTAGTCTTGAGGTATTCACAAATCACAATGGAAATTTTATTAGACATGTCAAATATATCCACAGCCTCTCTCTCTGTTCCCCTTCAAATCTCTACCTTCAACTGATGACCAGCAGTCAGAAGCCTCACTGTCAAAAGTTTCCTGAGACCCAGGAATAGGAATGCCTTCTCAGGAAAAATGGATAAGTGATTGCAGCAGTGTTGGTAGTAATAATGCTAAACACCAAACTGAAACGAGAAGCCAAGTGGCTCCACTTTCAGTCTTTCGGGATTGATAGACAGACTGATGAGGACACACTTCCTTCACTGCCATGGGTCCGATTGATGAGATTCTGGCCATCAGCTTGCAACCAATTATGCTTGTACAGCCTTTGACCTCCACAGATGATTCCATCCTTCCTATGGAACAAAGGATGGGGAGACAGGAATATTTTAGGAAAGCAGAGGAGAAGCCAATCCTCCCTCATCTTTGAAATTCTGAGTGCCAGCCCCTCTCAGGATCTACTCAGATGTCTGGTTTTCCAGCTTCTGACACCTTCAGATGTTCATTTCACTTTACCTCCACTGAGCTCAACTTTTCCTCGATAGCATCGATTTGTACCATTGGGACAAGGCAGAGAAGGAGCACTTAAACAGGTCCCCACAGCTACACAGGTTGGGCAATGGAGGGTTGCTGTCATACTGGTGGTCTCTAGAGCGGGAAGAGAAGGACAGTTAAGGGACATATCCCACCCAACTCTGAAGGATTCTCTCCTTGCTGCCTTCCTTTCCCAAAGCCTTTGCTGACTATGCCACTCTAATCAAGCCCATTACTAAAGCCTCCCCATCCTTCCCCAGCTGATTTTGTGTCAGAACCCCATCCACATTACTTCCAAACTTTGTGCTTAGGTTTAAAGATAGATGAGAAGGATACAATTCTAGCATCATTGTTTATAGGGAGAGAGACATGTAATTAACTGCAACTCAGTAGGTATTATGTTCAAGGTATAATGGCAAAGGAATGGAGGAAGACCTAACTACCTAAAAAAATTAGGTAAATATTTTCAAAGGGCTGAAACTTGATTTAAGAGGAAGAATGAACAGAGGTTAGCTATGTAAAAATGGAGTTTTGGTGGAGGTAACAAAAAAGACAGCAAGGACAAAGTTCAAGAGATGTGAACCAGCTTGGTGGATTTGAAAAACTGAGAAACTTCAGGGATAATACTCAGTAGGTAGGCACAAGTACAGCTGAACTGTTTTTTTTTTTTTCTTTTTAATGGCCAGTACCACCTCCATTGTTGAGGACTGAATATTAGCCCCAAATAGAACACAATAAATGAAAGAGGGAAATGAAGTGAAAAGATAGACAGGGTCAGATTATTATAAGCTTTGAGGTTGAATTGGGGAATTGGGCTGTCATCATGCAGCAATGAGGAACTAAAATTGTTAGACTGACAATAAACACCACCACCCTACTCAAAAAAAAGCAACAGACATCTTGTTGCTTCATAAATATAAATTCAGTTTACACTCCAGCCTTCACTGATGTCCTAGAGCTCTACTCTGAGCATTGCTTAGACCCATAAAGGTAACTGTTTAGAGAAAATTAATTTGACTGGGAGGTACTTTTGTGCATGTACCACTTGGTCAAGTAAGAACACAAAGAGGAAAAAAGATACAATCTCACCTACTTCCGGGGCATCTAATGTCTTTTGTGTTTTCGAAAAATCAACTATGCTTTGTCGGCTGTTGCAAAGTGGATCCTCACAGTAGTTACTATAGGATACTGCAGTCAAACCAGGAGATGGAGCGTGCTGGACGAATGTCATTGCCTCCATCAATTGCGCGAAGCAGCCCTTAGTGGCCAAAACGGCTGTCTTGTCCCCTGATGAGAGAGGAGGAAAGAAAAATGGATGGCAGGCCTCATGCCTCACCTGGCGAAGGGGAAACAGCAGTGATATGGGCAAAATAACCCTCTCTCCCACCCAACCAACTGCTCCACTCTCTTTTTACCTGCTGTAATCATTAATACACTTTCCTGGCAAAGTTCTCCATTGTCACAAGTCTCAACTTTCTCTGTGGTCCAGTTAAATGTTTGGGCTGGATCATCTTCTATATTCACATACACACCCTTGTGACAATATAAATGTTGGGCCACTGGAAAGAAAATGAGATGAAGATAACCTTTGCCCTTCTCTCCCTTCTCAAAGTGACTCCCTTTTCACCATAAATCCATCCTCTGTGACCCAGGGGCCCTTTTCCCCATCCCACATACTTACAGGTCAAGGAGGAGACTCCTAGGAGAAAGAGGAACAGGAAATCCTGGAAATGGTAGGCTTGCATGGCTTCTTTTAGGGAGGTTAGGAAGAACTGATCAAGATCTGTGATTTGATGTAGAAAAGGTAATGTCTAGGTTTTTGGCAAACACTGCTTTAGGGTAGATTTATGGTATACAAGATTATGACCTCTGAAGTCAGTCTGTCCCTAACTTGTGAGTTTAAGAAAGGTGAAAAGTTTATTATGCCTAATTTCYGTGACTGTAATTCCCAGACCCAGCCACCCATTCCCTATGACTAAGAAATCTGGCAACTCAATACCATTAAACTACTGGATCTAGGAGTCTGGGCTCCAAAACTCCTTTTCCCTCAGACTCAGGAGTCAAGTTTAAATCAGTATTTTCTCAAGGACTTAATATGCCAGCCTTCAACCCCTAACTCCATCAGAACCCAGGATTCTGAGACACCAGCCCTACCTTACCTGGGGAATCCAGGAATTAGGGTTGCAGTGGTTCATTCCCTCAAGATCCAAGATTCAGAGCCCCCAGCATCCTCCCTCAGATGGAGGAGTCTGAGCTAATAACCCCGCCCCCTCAGACCTAAAAATCCAACCCCCAGCCCTCCTCCCTCAGACCAAGCCCTCCTCCCTCAGGCCCACCCCTCCTCCCTCAGGCCCAGCCCTCCTCCCTCAGGCCCAGCCCTCCTCTCTCAGACCCAGGGGCCAGCCCAGTCCTCTTCCCCCAGACCCAAGGGTCCAGCCCAGTCCTCTTCCCTCAGACTCAGCGTCCAGCCCAGCCCCCACCCAGTCCCAGGGGTCCAGCCCAGCCCCCTCCCTCAGACCCAGGGGTCCAGCCCAGTCCTCCTCCCTCAGACCCAGGGTCCAGCCCCGTCCTCTTCTCTCAGACCCCGGGTCCAGCCCAGCCCCCTCCCTCAGACCCGGGGATCCAGGCCCAGCTCCCTCCCTCAGACCCGGGGATCCAGGCCCAACCCCCTCCCTCAGACCCGGGGGCCCAGGCCCAGGCCCAGGCCTCCTATATCAGGACCAGCGGTCCAGGCCCAGCCTCCTCCCCCAGACCTGGGAGCTCAAAACTCAGTCCTCTCTCTTCCGACCCGGGAGTCTGGGCCTCAGGCCCTCCTCTCTCAGACCTCAGAGTCTGGCCCAGGGCCTTCCCTTTCTTCCAGATCCAGGAAACTAAGTCCCTTTCCTCCTTTTCCCCCACTTTAAAGCAGCAAGTTCTTGCTGGCTGCAGGATGACCTCACCAGAATCTCACCACGCCAAACATGCGGGCGCTGGTATTTCTCGCACAATCCAGCTCCCAGAGACACGGAAGGCGGGGCCAGCCTCAGCCTGACAGGACATTCGAAGTCCCATTGGTCGACGCAAAAGCATTGGCTGAACTCCATTGGGGGAGTCTGGAGAATCTCTGCTCCTCATTGGCCACAGAGAAGCCAATCCCTGGCAACGGTAGGTGTGCATGCGCAGAAGGTGAGTAGTGGGCAAGCTGGCAGAAAAGAGTCGGTTTGGTCTTAGGCCGCCCCAGGCGTTGCACTGTAGGGTGTGGGGTGCGTTTCCAAGTGACCTTGCTGACCTTGCTTCTCGTTTTCTTCTCTTTGAGGTGCATTATCTCTGGTTCTCCAGCCACACTAGGAGGTTAAACTCTTGATCCTTATCCACTGAACCAAATGGCCTACCAAAATGACCTCTCATATTCTTAAGTCTTTCCCTTGCTCCAACACCACCTAGAGGCTCTTGGCACTGGAAATCAACTTGGTCCCCTCAGTCCACGTGCAGGAGCCACTGCTTAGCCTAGGCTTCTTTCTCTGATTGTATCATTGCATCATCCTCCTGCATGGTCTTCCAGATAGCTGAATAGAGGAACATTCTGTTCAGCATCACTTTGTACATCCTTAAATTATATGCATGACCAGTAACCGAGTGGTCACAGGTTGCTACCAGCCTCCGGAGTTGCTAGAATTACAGGCGTGTGCCAACGCATCCAACCCTCTCTAGTTTTCATTCTGCCTCCAGAAGAAAAATTAAGGGAAAGGTAGTGAAATATCCACCTCAAATGCTGGGTCCCTGATGCCTGACCCCCCAGCCCTCTCATTGCTCAAGAACCTATGGTCCCTGCACCAGCTGCCACCTCTCTCAGATGTGTGAACCCAGTCTCCCGATCCCCCTCATACTTGTAAGTCCAACCCCTCAACCCTTCCTACCTCAGACCCTGGAGTCCAGGCCCCAGCCCTTTCTCCCTTGTCCCAAGAGTAACAGCCCTGGCCCCTCTTTCCTCAGATCCAGGAGTCAAAGTCACCATCCCCCTCAACTCTCAGCACCCAAATATAACAGGATGTAAGAATCCCTTTGTGATCCTTTAGAATTGATAGTGATTCTGGGAATTAAGCTAAAAATATTTTTTTTTTAAAGAGAGAGTGAGAGAGGAGAGAGAGAGAGAGAGAGAGAGAGAGAGAGAGAGAGAGAGAGAGAATTTTTTAATATTTATTTTTTAGTTCTCGGCGGACACAACATCTTTGTTGGTATGTGGTGCTGAGGATCGAACCCGGGCCGCACGCATGCCAGGCGAGCGCGCTACCGCTTGAGCCACATCCCCAGCCCTAAAAATATTTCTTTTTAATAGAGAAAAATGCCACAATAAGAATTGCATTGGTAGAAACACTTAATCTTATATAAAAAAATAAAATACGATAAGAACTTTTCATAGATTAAAAGGACTAGGACTGGTTATACCAGATAAATACCATGTTGAAGGGCACTGACTATCTGTTTCTCACATATGTTGCAAATAGGACTGGCCAGTGTTATCTACAGTGTTTGTCTTGCACAAACACCAGGACAGCTGCTTCTTGGGATGTTGGTCATATAAGGAGCTAAACAAAGTAGCAGAGTGATGACGCCACTGCTTTTCCAGCCTAACTTATATACCCCTTTCCCCGTGGTTACAACTGCAGAATAGAGCACCTTGGAGAGGGAAGTGCTCACCCAACTGGCCACCAAAGACTGGCACCTGACCAGTCCGTTGCCACTGGATCTTCCCCATAAGCATTTCTCAATAAACTTTCTCTCATCCCGTCTCCAGGTGTCTTTTTTTGGTCTCTCAGCAAACTGTCCCTCTGCCCTAAGATAACTTGGCTGTGAATATTACATTTGGTACCCCAGCCAGGAGACCAGGGAAATTTCCATGGGCACTGGGGATGTGGTCTTTGAAAAGAGGAGATAGACAGGTATGGGGAATCTCCTGGGATGACCTTTAACCCCCATGTGTGGGGTGGTGGTGACTATTATGGATGTCGGGGGGATACCCTGTGAGTATAGGGATTCCCCACCCTATGGATTAGGGGGAATACTAAAGTTTATTGATAGACAATAGGATTTACAGTAAAGGAAAGATTGGTATAAGATTATAGTAGCCATGCAGTGGCTCCTAATGGCAGTTCAGACATCATTGGAGCTTCAAGTGGGGCTTTGTCAAATTCCTTCCCTCCTCCTTGCCCCCTTCACTGACTCCTGCAGTGGGGTGTAAGACTTGCACCCAAGTTTGGTGAAACAGGCAGGAATCTCCCAGATGTCCTGTCCAGAGTCACCTTCTGGGCAGGACATAAGGCCAAAGCAAGCTTCCACCCTCTGTTCCCCCCTCGCTTCCCACTGGGAGCTGGCAGTGGTGGTGATGGTGCAGTAGTGACAGTTGAGTCCAAGCGCTATGCGTCTGTCCACACCCTTGGACATAAATTGCCCACAGCAGAAGCAACAGTGGTGGAGGCAGAGGTGGAAGAGTGGGTGGGCCAGATCTGGGTCACTAGGAAGGGAAAAGGAAAAGCCACCACCCAGCCCTGTGTGCACGGCAATGTTTCCACAGCTCTGTTTCTGCTGTTGCCACCTCAGGCCCAAGGAGACAAGCATAAACACAAGTATCAGGAGAAAGTTGTCTTAGAGAGATAAATACTATTTGGCTCTACCATTCACCTGCATTCTGTGTGGGGAGAAAGGAAGGTATCATCATTACCATGAATCTCTGGGAGAGGCACTTCAAGGAGTTAAATTGAAATTTAGTGGTCTGAATATTAAATTTAAAGATAGTGTACTGTTAATCTGAGTCTTTTCCCCACCTAGCAAAAACAGCTCAAGTGTTGATCACACATCTCCAAGGGAGAGGATGAGCCGGGATGAGCCTCTTCCAAATGGCACAATCTGGGCTCTCTGTTAAGTACTCAGGGATGGGTGGATTTGGGTAAAGCTAAAGGGGTACCAGCTGCTGTTATAGATATAGCCCAAGATTTTGTTACTCCAGTTCCCTCCAAATAGTTGCAGACAACTTTGGGATCTTTAAGGGACTGGTGCCCCTTCATTCTGTATTTAGCAGAGATGTTGCACCATTGTGCCATTTAGTACAAAGGGGAACCCATTGGGACTGGGAACCTGAGCACCTTGAGGTCTTTTTTCAAGCAAAAATAGTTGTAAAGCAGTTATAAACAATCCAATAAACAATCCAATAAATGGACTGTTTCTAGCTGCCTTGATGGGTTTAGGTGGGGTCTATGGTATGACATGGCAATAAATGAGTTCCCTTAAGATTTTGATCATAGCTATGGAAAGGAGCAAAAGTACCATATTGTTCCATTAAAAGACAGTTCTGTGCTTTGTGTTCAACCCTATAACTGTATAACTAAGACTACTGAGTTACTGTGTGCATCATCCTCCTGTCACAGGATGGTTGCCAGATGCTTTTACGAAGCCCCATCCTAGATCAGCACGAACAGGCACGGTGTGAAGTGACATGAACATTTACAGCAAAGAACCACATTGACTTCCAACCTTTTTTTAATATTTATTTTTTAGAAGTAGTTGGACACAATACCTTTATTTTGTTTATTTATTTTTATGTGGTGCTGAGGATTGAACCCAGGGCCTCGCACATGCTAGCCCTCTACCACTGAGCCACCATCCCAGCCCCCTAACCTTTTAAGTGCAGAGTTACATGACATTCTAGGACTAGGCACATATGCCAATGAAGAAAAGGAAGTATCAGATGACATTCTATCATCCACCCCTC